GTTCGAGCAGAAACTAAAACTGAGCGTGGTGTTTCCAGCTCTGTTCTTGGCGCTATTGCTCGTTCTGCGGACGGATTTTACGTGTCACAAAAGAAGAAATCGTTCGACGTTGAGATTCGCACTCTCCCGTCGAGTAGTTTGTTGGTGAAGACACTGGAATGGCTGAGACAGACGAATCCGTTGAATGATAGTGCTTCTCCTGTAGCTGGAACTATCTCGGAAACAAGTGTAGCGGTGTCCTTGCTAGGCTGCCTGACATCGACGGGATCTGTGCTGCCATTACTGGATTATGCCTCGTTAACGCATCGCGTGATGTTGCGGTTTTGCTCGATTGGAACGAGCGTCGCTTGTGTTAAATTCGCTGCTACTCAAGGGAGTTGTGACGAGCTTTTAGCTGGCGAATTGCTCTCTAGCAGATGGTTTGGAAACGCCGACGCAGTTCTTCAAGCTGAGTTGATCTCGTGGATTGCACACGCAGCTACCCGCGTTCCGACCGATGTGCTACGGGCTCAATTAACAAGTATCTTCGATATTCTCAAGGATATCTGGCGCCGTGATACGTCTAGTAGTGCTAGCATCCTCCTCTTCGACAGCTGGACAGTTATGTTACACGACATCCTGGAAGCCAACTCAACTCGCCGTATTCCTGAGAGCTCGGTGACAATGGTGAACGAGGTTATCCTGGAGAAAATGATTGTGGAGATTCCATTCGGACCGCATGCTTCATCCTTTGTAGAGCAATTCGCTACACGTGTTCTATCGAAGGTGGACTACGGTGAACGTGGCTGTGCTGACACGTTCTTGATGCCGGCAGGATCAAATTCTTTTACGTGGAGCTGGTGGAGAAATGGAATTGTCATCGTTCAACTAGCGAAGCTCAACGTTCTAACCATCACAAAGCGTGTGGCATCACTGGCATTCCAGTGGATTTTGCGTCATGACTTTGAGGAATGGACGGACGATGAACTCGTAGATACATGCTTGCATCCACTTGTCGCCGAAATCGGCGCACTTATTGCCCAACACACAAAGCCTGCCGAGACCGTTTCCTCGCTACTGGATGTGATCGATGCTTTCAGTCGTGGGATGTCTACTCTTGACACATCGGTTCACGCGATTATTGAACGCCGTGCATTATTTGATATGGTGGCAAACGTGTTGTCCTGGAAGACGACATTGATTCACGAACAATACTTGCGAAAAATTCCGCGATCCGACATTGCTGGCCTGGACATTTCAATCGATTTGCTACCTTTTGGATTAATAGCAAGCGCTCAGAACTCGAAAGCGGTATCGGCATTGGGTGAGAGACTGCTTGCATTGCTGCAGCAGATGACCGACGTCACAGTGGACACCGCGGGGTACATTGCCGCTTTACAGGGGTGTAGCCGGCAGATCTACGTAGCAGCGGACAGGTGCTTTATCTCCAGCATTGTGGCTGGGGAGATCCGCGAATTGTGGAGTCTTGAAAGCTCCGACGACAACAGTTCTATCTAGTCCTGATACGTTTGCATCCACGTGTATATACCAACGAAGTAAAAAAACGCACTTAGATAAATGCAATGTTCATTTTGTCTGCTACACACGACACCAAGTTCGCGGATTAATCTCTAAGCTAACCCATGTACATTCTGCTGACACGAACACACTCAAGTATTGTGCTCGTGTATGGAATACGAAACGTAGTATTCTCCACCAGCATTAAAGATTCATGATTTTTCGTAAGACCAAACTTGGCTTTTGTAAGCAAGTGTACGACATAATGTCGTACGATTTGCCATCAACGTGCTGTGACCCAGCGTGTCGCTTGGCGCAACACAGGTCTCAAAGAAGTGCTTTGTCTAAAAACAAAACAAAAATAGAGCTTCAAAACATTTCCAATAAAAATAAAACGAGCCATTCAAAACACAATAATTCTTACCGAGATTTTGCCATTGGTTAATATTGCATAATTTACGCATCAGGTCCTGAATCTTGTTCAACAGGGAATCCTAGTCGGTCATGAAACTCTAGACGGCGAGGATAAGGCGGTGCGATGCACAGCCAATGGGTGGGCCAGCCAGATATGAGAATGATTGGTGTTTACGGAACCAACGAGGTAGTTGGTGTCGGCAATGTCTCCGTTGAAAAGCGGGTACCCAACGAAAAAGGATATTGCAGGCAGTTAAACAGTCAAGCCAGCAGAGAACCCTTTGAGACTTTTGGTCAATAAAGCTGACCGGCGTAACGGTATTGGTGCCACTTGTCATCATAGGAGCCACGAGTCCGGTTGCCGCTTCAGGACATGGTCAAACAAGCTGCTTTAGCATGTCTTTGCAGGATATGACAGTTGAAGTGCCGACAGTTAATAGCCTGCTGATAACTCAACTGGAGCAAGGTGCGACGGTGCAGAGAGAAAGGGGGTTTGACAGCGACAAGAGCTTTTCCCCCTCGGGCTATACTGAGTGTATGAGCACGTTGCATGTGAGAAAAGGATAATATTTAATTCACTTTGAGTTTAACAGCGTACGGAACAAGTCGTTGTCTCCCTCGAGATCCGCTCGCCACCGCGCAGAGGCCTGCGTACTTTGCTATGTCTTAGGTGCTTGCTTCCGCACGACAGTGCACTAGCACCGTAAATGGACAGTTGGCTCGTCTTGATCGTCTAGGATGATCTTATAAAGTAGCTGCAGCCTTGGTCCGGGATAAATGGTTGTTGGTCGCCATGATGATACGAAAATGAGGCGAAGAGAAGAAAGAACCAATATATCGGTAGCTAGGTTGCTGTCTACGGCAAGGTTCCACAACCAATGCTTTGAAATGCAACATTAATTCAGA